ATATCTTGCCTCTAGTCGATAAAGGAATCAACATCGGAGAAGGAGAGTCCCGATCCCAGACGTGTATTGCTAAAGTTCTTGTACCTAGGCCATAAAGGACTGGTCATGGTATGTGAATATCAATATGTAAAGATCCGAAATCCGGTGTGTGACACTAAAATTCTTCTACATATGTCGTAAAAGACCGGTCATAGTATGTGAAAGTCCATATTGGGGGTGCAATTTTGAACTCAAATAATATCTTGTCTCTAGTCGAAAACGAAACCGACATTGGACGAGGAGAGTCCTGATCTCAGATGTGTATTGCTAAAGTCCTTCTACCTAGGCCATAAAAGACTGATCATGGTATGTGAATGTCGATTTGTAAAGATCCAAAAAACTGGGTGTGTGTGTGTGCCACTATAGTTCTTCTACCTATGCCATAAAAGACTGGTAATAGTACGTGAAAGTCCATATTAGGTGTGTATTGCTAAAGTTCTCCTATCAACGGTGTGTCTCATTTCTTATTTGTGAGATTATAAGACTTGGGTGTCTCTCATTGAAGTTATTCTACGTACGCCATGAAAGACCTCCAAAAGTTGTTGTTGAGATCCGAACTCGGGCGTGTGTCACTAAAGTCCTTCTACCTAGGCCATAAAAGACTGGTCATGCTGTGAAGGACTCACCATAGTATTTGATAGCCTTCCTTGGGGGTGGGGAGTGCGGTCGACAGCTCAAATTTTGTCTATAGCTGTTAACAAACTAGACATAGGAGAGAGAGAGAGAGAGAGAGAGAGAAATCCAGAACTCCAGCGTGTATTGATAAAGTTCTTCACCCTTATGATGTGAAGGACATAGAATATAATTTGAAAGTGCTTCTTGGTATTCAGTATTATGATTAGTATATTCAGTCAGAAATAATATTTCTAACAAAGTGTGGACATACTGTTTATAAGCTATTCGGTCACTAATAATATCTGTTCGATATTGACAGTAAAAAGGATTCGTGACTGTTTCCATCAACTTCCAGACAAGTTTTTAAGAAAATTGTCATTGCATGATTTTTTTCTTTCCGTCAAAGCCTCTGACTCTTTCGATCAATGTTCGGTCAAGTTAATAAAGTTCTTCGTATTTTTATGTTAAAGTTCAGACAACGCGTTAATAAAGTCCATGAAAGAAGCGTGACCAACAAATTCTACTACGGTAATGACTTGACCTTAAACGAGAAATCCATTGATCTGCAAGGAGGTCTGTAGCCTAATCAGTCACCACCCTTCACCATTCTTGCCATGTTCACTGTCTGATATTTTTGAACATCGACAAAATCCACACAAACAGAATTTGTCTATTGACCATGTAATACCCAATGCAAAATGCCCCCCAAAAAAGACACAAGTTTTCAAATGATAAGATAACACCCATACAAAATATAGACGAGATAATATCTATGACGCGAATAAATTCTCGGGTTTGCTTTGGAGGAACACGCTGAAGATACTCCGTGTGCACGCATTCCTTTTGTGCCCTCCAGGTCAGCACTTGCTACACTTTGGTTCTATCCTTGGTTTTTTTGTGCATCTCCTCGAGAGGGACAACCATTTGCCAGGTGACCCTTTGCCCAGCAAATAGAACAGAATTTTGACTAGGTTATAGAAGTCGTAAGCTTCAGCCAAAGAATTGAACTCTTGACCACAAACTCTGACTTTCTTTCAAAAATAATTATTAATGCCTTCTCCAATGCACTTAATTTTCCTGGTGACGGCGTATGGACGTCGGGTATCTTGCCCATACATAACCTGCATAAAACAAATCTGATCAACATAAATAAATATTTCCTGTTCTAGAATGCTAACTGATGATCACACTCGCAAGCTATTGACTGATGTGTACAAAGTTGTACACTTGTTTTCCATTTTATACAGTGAGCATCCAAAATGTTCAAAGCTGCAATTAATTCACATACTATGCTTTAAGGTGCAATTGACAGTTAAAACTGAAGCTAGCATGTATTCCATATATGTAAGAAAGCTTGATCTGCTGATTTTCTTTTGTCAATTGCGACATATATTTGTCAAAAAACACCTACTGAACGTGTCAAAACGAGTAGCTTTACACAATTTCTAAAAAGCTCCTTTGTTGCACTGTTTATCATCATGCCCGACTAGTGGCAGGTCACGTGTGGCTGAAATAAAGTACAATGAGACGGTACAGATGGATCCCCAAGGACTGGGCGCAGGATTAGCCTAATCAGGCTGAAATAAACACGCCTTGCTACCTTGTTTTGTTAGCAACTCTGTTTATGTTGCAGGGAGATATTTCTCACATCAGACAACTCTGTTCAAGGAATTGTGAATTGGCCTAATCAGCTTTGTTAACAACACAAGACATCTTTGCTGGCCTTGAGAGCCATGGTCATCGTCGTGGCAAGCTGGTTCAGAGAAGTGCAAAAGCGTGAATGAATGGTGAACTAAAAGGTATGGCTGCCAAAGTAAACAGGTAGCAAGGCATGTTTTAAACTTTTAACATGTTTGTCTAGTCCGAAAAATTAACTGGCACCTAAATATGAGGAATACTTGAGCAGAATTGCGTGACTGTACCCAAATATGACGAATCCTAACTGGTTGTGCCGTGCAGCACGAATCGTTGCGGTCATCCTCACACGTGGATCAGCGCGAGCCTGCCCCACACGGCCCACCCAAATATGGCCTTCTCCAGAGCACTTATTCTTCCGGATAATGAAAACAATATCACATAATATGGTCGGGTATCTTGCCAAGTTGGACCCTACATATACTTGAGATGTTAACCGCAATTGGAATGAAAAGAAATCTGTCTAATATAGTCAAAATGAGCTCATCACTCTGACTTTTATTCAGAAGTAGTTGCAGTGTTTTGAATACTGTATGCATGGACATATCACATATGTAACAAACAATTGCTCCAAAACAATTAACCATGTAGCATTAATAGGTATTCTGCTCATGAAATTGTCTTAATGCACATGCCAATGCCTGAGTCAATATTGACCGTATAATGTCTGCAAAAAGGTGGGAAAGTCTGACTATAAAACATACTGTAACCAATAGCCGAGTTTATGATTCCTTGACACAAATCGAAAATTGGATCATATACTGCACCCCAGATAAACATGTTTATGATCGCTGATCATGGCGAAGGTCTTGTATCATCAACCAACTACTCCTCAATAACAAAAATCTGCTCCAAAATAAACAAACTTTTGACAGCAATCAACTGAACACGACCAAAAAGATTCTCCTGTTCATGTCAATGCCCATGATAAAGAATGAACTGCAAGTGCTTCCCTAATGTTGGTTCCATCAAATTATTTTACGTGTACAACACAGGCCTAGATGTCCACGTTCATTAATCCCAAAACTAGAAACTGAGCACATCATTGACTGTTCTAATTTAGGGCTCACCAGAATCCTCAAATCTTCATCAAGCCAACTACTTTACTGAGAAAGTGAGAAAATAGGACTAGCTGACTGAAAGTTGTATTCACAGCCGGGGGATTGATTGAGCTAGTACCTTTGAGGCCACGGAGTTGGAGTGCGTTGCGATTGAGATGGGGGCTCTCTGGGATTGTCAGTGTTGTCAATATCCGGGACATTGATTAAATCTTCCGTGGCCTCATGAACTTGTGATGCAGAACTTGAGGAAGGAGAATCGGTAACAGAAAATTTCCCTCCATGCCCGCACTCGCCGTCGTCCTCCCCCTCCTCTTGCACAGCCAGATCTGGGACACCCTCGGTTGCGACCGGCTGGGAACAGAAGCTCTACCCACGGACATGGCAAAACGGAGATTTAAGGATTTGTTGCCGGAGAAACAAAGAAAGAAAAGGAGGATCTTGAGAGAGGATAAACCTGATCAGGAGATCCGTGAACGACTCCCCACCGACAGTGGCGGAGCCAGGAAATTTGAATTAGGGGGGCCGATTGCAGCCAAAATAGGTTGGGGAGGGCCAAAGCATAGAAAAAACAGACTTTAAGCATAAAAAATTGCTAATTACGCACTGTTCATCAGTGAATTAGCAGCAAACTCCTAATGCCAGGGGGGCCAGGGCCCCTGCTGGTCCCCCTGTCTCCGCCACTGCCCACCGAGATTCATTGGCGAGGTAGTGAGAAAGGGGCGAGATCCAGGCGCGGCGATGGGGAGGGCGTCGTTCCGCCGGTCGATGCAGCTGCGTCCTCCTAATGGGATTCGAATTTTAAGTTGAGTCCGGCTGGGTGTGGATGGGCAGACTGGTCACGGGGTAGTGGACGGGGATGTAGGCCAGTACGCCCTAGGCCGCGATCGTAGGTAGGCCGCGCTAGGCTGCTAGATACGATAGGATATGTATTCGGTTCGTATCGCGCTTGAAAAAACGAACAGCCAGAACCGCGTGGGGCCATGTGGGCCGCGCTAACGCAGATCCACACGCTGCAGTGATGGCTCCGATATTGGTTGCGCGCGCAACCAGTTAGGAAAGGCCTTATTCGCAGGGGATAGTCTGAAACTTGACGGTGCAGATGTGGGGTCGTGCTGGAGTTACCGCAAATCGGAAAGGGGAGATTACAGGGATGGTCGGGTTGCAGATGTTGGCCAAGTTTTTCGTTTTGCGGGAGCAAAAAATAATAATTGGCTGATTCAGCCAAATGTCCCGGTAAAAGTTCGGCCTGTATATTGTGATCTTCATTCTCAAAAAAAAAAAGTGATCTTCTGTTTCTCTCTATAAAAAGCCGTATGCCCCTAAAAAAGCCGCATTTTTGCCAAGTAAAAAAAGAGAATGACGTATCGTTTGACATGATTTCGTATTTAGTCAACAGCAAAGACAAGCAAGAACCTTCCGATCGCGCGCCACGCTTGACCTGGAGAAGACCAGAGCTGCCACCAATGCGAGCGCGCTGTCTGATCGACACGAACCTTCGTGAGTACTAATAATATCTATAAATCCGATGCCCCATTGTCTCAGGAATCGCGACAACCTGCCGGGCGTCCGACGGCACCGACCCATCACACGATGTCCGGGGAAGACACCGCAGCACCGCAGGTCTTGGAGGACCTGCCGGGCGTCCTCAAGCTCCTCAGCGACGGCTCGGTCGTCCGCGGCGACGAAGCCGTGCTCTGGCCAGAGGACCCGTTGCCGGACGTCCCCGGCGTGCAGTGGAAGGACGCCCAGTACCACGCGCCGCGCGGCCTTAGCGTCCGCGTGTACAGGCCGTCGTCGTCGGTGACGGAAGCCGGCGGCCCTAAGCTCCCGGTGCTGGTGTACTTCCACGGCGGCGGCTACTGCCTCGGCTCCTTCGCGCAGCCACACTTCCACACCTACTGCCTCCGCGCCGCTGCCGAGCTCCCGGCGGTCGTGCTGTCCGTCCAGTACCGCCTCGCCCCCGAGCACCGCCTCCCCGCGGCCATCGAGGACGGTGCGGCTTTCCTCTCCTGGCTGCGCGACCAGGCCGAGCTCGGCGTTGGCGCTGACCCCTGGCTCGCCGAAACGGCCGATTTTGGCCGGACGTTCATCTCCGGCGCATCGGCGGGCGCCAACCTGGCCCACCACGTCACGGTCCAGGCCGCCTCGGCGCAGCGAGACGTCCACCCGGTGCGCGTCGCCGGGTACGTCCTCATCTCTGCGTTCTTCGGCGGCGCCGAGCGGACGGCGACGGAGGCCGACCCCCCGGCGGACGTGTCCCTGACGGTCGAGGGATTCGACATGTTCTGGCGCATGTCGCTGCCGGTGGGGGCGAGCAGGGATCACCCGGTGGCCAACCCGTTCGGCCCGGAGAGCCCCAGCCTTGCGTCCGTGGATCTCCCGCCGGTGCTCGTGGTGGCGCCGGAGAGCGACGTGCTCCGCGACCGCGTGATGGGGTACGCCGCGAGGCTGAGGGAGATGGGGAAGGCCGTGGAGGTGGCCGGGTTCGCCGGAGAACAGCACGGGTTCTCTGTCCTCCGGCCGTTCGGCGAGGCGGCCAACGAGCTGATGCGTGTCCTCAAGCGGTTTGTGTACGCAGGTACCACACGTAATACGTCCACTGATGGTTGAAGTGTTTGGTGATCTCCTGATTCTCGTGTGGCAAATCGTTTGGATTTTTACTTACTTCAATAATGTAAATCCGGCCACGCAACCTAATGAACCATTTGATGGAAGAACTGCATTCTGGAAGAGGTCTGAAAAGTGAAAACCGTATGTGAGATGTTCTGTGTTGTCTTGTCTCATTAGTGATCTTCGAACTTTCTCCAGATTTCCTTGGAACTAATATTCCTAAATTTGCTTCAAAAGAAACTATTATTTCGAGTTACTACTGTTGAAATACAATGTGATGTTAGCGTCACATCGTATTGTAGGACACCAAAACAAACATAAGCAAAATCGTGACTCCTCATATGACATAAATAATTTATGAGCGACTCCACTTCTCTAACACACCACCAGGCTGCTGTCACCACCTCCACTTCCTAATCCCTACCTCGCGTCAGAGGCCTCGAGGGAGAGGGGACTGGATCGGGTGTGGTGACATGGTTCGGCCCAAGTTGGGGCCCCATTTATCACGTCAGACGCATTTTGCACGAATTCTTCACCGATGTGAGGGCTGACTCATCTATCTATATCGAATTAACAATGGGCCCCACTTGACAGAATGATGCAAAACTTTAAAATGGATAAAAGTAGACTAACTTGCTTAACTATGGAAGAAACTAGGACAATTTTTATACTCCTCAAATAGACCAAGAAATATCCCAACTTGACACTTAAGGAGTAAAATTTGGAATTCACTATATAAATAACTTATTAACTTATGGTAGTAAGTTAAACAAGTACCAAGTCACTCAAATACATCTCCTTCCTCATAAATATGATATCGAAAAAGGTATTTAGAATTCTAAAACAGCAAGCACCGAGTCATACATGAATGACTCCCTCAGGATGTTCTCTCTTGTGGTGAGCATTCTTCTTCGGCAGAAAGACATCCGACAGGACGGTCTTGGACTTCAGGGAAGCAGCAAATATCTCTAGTGCCTACATTAAAAAAAATCCATACATACACAAACACACACAAAACAAAAGGTAAATCACCAGCCGATCAACTTCAGCAAAACCACCACCTAAAAGTTCAGACTCAAAAGAAATTAGAGCACTATGTACCTCTTCCTTGCCGATCTTCACTGTCTTTTCCTGCAAGGCGCTGAGGTCCTTGATGCCCAACAGCGAGATCGTCGCGAAAAAAGAGGCCGAAGTCACAGACAGGTCACTGGTGGAAAAAAGGCCTTTGGTCGCGGTTCGCAACTGCCATTAGTCGCGGTTGCGCAACCGCGACCGACCGGGCGCGACTAAAGGCCCCCCACCTTTAGTCGCGGTTGCTTAAGAACCGCGACTAAAGGCCCGTCCACGTGGGCGCCAGGTGGCCGTCGGGGCGGAGGACCTTTAGTCGCGGTTCTTCTGGCCAACCGCGACTAAAGGCCGCCGCAGGTTTAGGGTTTTAGCCCCCCCCCCCCTAAACCTGCCCCCTTAAACCTGTTTTCTGTTTAATTTGTATTGTTTTATTTCTTTTGTGCTTTATTTTAATTTTGAAGGAGTTTCATATATTCTACGGTACTACATACATGCATATGAATGTACAATTTCAAATAAATTTGAAATTAGAACCGAAAAGAATTCAAGAGGAATATACAATATATATTCAATATCATCG